TATTTATAAGCGTGAGTGTGTTGTCCATCCTTTTCCCTTGGTAAATCACGCTGGACCTCGATTTTCTACAAGAAATGGTTACATATTTAAAAAAAATCGTACTATTTAGATCCGGTGGAAATTCCTCTTAACAATGAGTAATAAATTAAGTATGAATGGTTCATTAGGTTTTCCAGAAGAGAATGGTTTTAATCGAGAAGGCTTTTGTATTATTACTTGAAGAAATTAGCCTGGAGAACCCGTACAGGGTTTTTTTTTAACGAATTTGCGTATACCGATTCATCTATTGCGTGCTTCTATCACAGAGGACAATGGCCTCAGTCACGAAGACCCCCGAAGCACGATATTGTTTACCTCCAATTTCATTAGACTCTTTTCTACCAAATCCGACTTGTAGTCTTACTACTCAGATTGCATTATTGTTCAAAATAAATAATAAAAACTCCAGTAATTAAGCCTTGTATATTTTTGATTACTGTCAGGACTGATGATGTCTGATAATATTGATCTATGTATATCTTCGTTCAGCGGTCTTCGCTATCTTTGCCTAAGCTTTCTGTGTAATTTTTTAAATAGTTTCGATCTGACCGGAACAAACCGTTATTTGCTGGCACCTACCCAGCCCAAGTGCAACGATTTTTGCCGTTTTACCGAGATACGGCGCCGTTGCGTGATCACGGGAGAATTTATGTTCTATGATGAAGGCCGCTTTTCCTGAATAACTGCATCTGGCTTTAACGGAAACTTTTTCACGGAAATAGCTCTTTCGTTTTCAGGAAATAAGTCATAGTTAAGAATTTTCCTCTTACACCACCAAAAATCGTTGCGTGATCTTCACTAATCTTCTTAGAGAGATAAATCGCCTTGTCGACACTTTGGAAGCAGATCTCTTCAACAGAAATGCGGTCTTTTAAATTTATCTCGTTTAACAAGCCTAGCACGGAAGGCTGAAAATACAAACTTCTATAAATATATGTAAATGATATAAATGAAAAATTACCCTATGATAAGCGCACATATCCAATTCTCTTTTTATAAACTCAGAGTTGCTTTTATTCAGTTTCAAGCTAGTTGATCTTGTTTAAACGACGTCAAAACGACAATACGGGATGATTAACAACAATTAGCAATTATGAGAGATGTTTTTGCCCGGCTAGACATGTAGTTCGGCCATTGTACCAAAACATCGAGCATAGTACCACCCCTCAGACCCCATGAACAAATCGCACAATTGTTAGATAAAGTCTGCAGATTTGGATATGTACTTAATGATAATTAGCAATTGGATTGATTACAGATTGTGAAAAAATGGTAAGGGACGATCATAGATGATGGGTTAATCATCATGGGGGTCATACCTCATAAATGATGGTTATTGATCGCTAGACATGGTTACGATCTGTTAAATATTGTTAGGATTAATTAGGGATGGTAGTAGACGATCTGACGATAGAAAACATTAGTAAAATTTCATGCTGAAAGAAGTTCAATGAAGGTTAGCATCGTTTAGGATTGGCTACTATCTGTTTACGACTGCTTGGATAGATTATGAACGGTTAACGATGCGTAAGTTTCTTAGTGATGGGTTAGGTAACTGACGACCATGCGTGACGAGAGAATGTTTCCAGAAGTGAGATATTGTTAGTGATGATTATAAATGGTTATTAAGGATAAGTGAAGATTAGAGATTGCAAGAATTGGTTATAACTGGTTACGGATAGTTAGCTAACGATAAATAGAGATAGTTTTTTATTTAGAAATCGATTAACGGTCACTAATCACCACACAATAATAGAGATAGTCATGAACAATCTGAGATAGTTAAAGAAAATGGTCAATGATGGTAAGGTCATTAGCTACAATTTATTGAAGTATGGTGGGATAGATTAGGAATAGTTAATGTTGGATACAGATTTTTAGTCAAGTTTAGGGTTGTTAGTGATGACCTAAAATGGTTAGCGAATGGTGGATAATAATGTACACATGCCACATGTTTGATGCTAAAATGTGTTGGTCAGTTATGGTTATGATCGATTAGAGGTATCTATTGTCTGCCTGCTATGGTTGGTTAATGGCGATTTATTGGGCTATTGAGTAATGATTCATGATGTTTGCATGGCCAATGATGGTTAGGATAGGTTAGAGATAGCTATTTTCTGTTGAATATTCTTTAAATAGATGAAAGATGGTTAACGATAGTTTAAGGCTACCATTAGTGATGACTGGTGATTATAGATAATTATTATAGATATGTGAAGATTAGGATTGGTTAAGAATGGTTAGTGACGATCTGACGAAGTTACCGATTAATAGCTTGTAATGAATATTGATTTTATGCTGAAATGAGATGGTCAATGATGCCAGTTAGAAACTACTATTGCCAATTGTAGCTTGTTAATCTAGATCAGGGATGGTTAAGGACTGCTAGAGACAGTTAATGCTGGGTTTGTTAGTGACGATAATAGATAGTTAGGGCTGGTTATAATGATGGTTATTGCTGATTACGGTTGTGTAGCAATTGTTTGGTGTGTTTGATAGTCGGTTAATGGAAATAAGGGAAAAGAGGTAGTAAACATATTTGCCTTTTTCATCTAAACCATCTTGGGATCCTATCTGCTCTTATGTCTCTTTAAAATATTCCTTAAATTAATAATAAATTAAATAATTTATTAACAGTGAAAATTGTTCATTTTATTTATAAAAGAATAAATAATAAAAGGAACAAAAATAATATTTTATAATGTCCAATCGAAATTTTATATATTTCGAAAAACTAATTTTTACAGTTATGTTGTTTTACCATCATTAGCGAGTTGTACTAAGCTGTGAAAATCTTTCATCAGTATATATTCAAATTGATACTAAATTGGCAATATTTAGAGTTTTTTAATGAATTTAAGCGATTATTTTCTTTTCGAGTTCATAATTTTGTTCTGCCCCTAAAAACCTTCTGTCGATACTCAGAAAAGGAAAATAAATTTCAACCAATTTTATCTATTTGAACGCACTTAGTTCAAGTAGGTTAGAATAGAATCGTTATGGGAGCTTTATAAGTGAATTTATAGTTGACAGAGAGGGAAAATGTCTTTATTTCTCGAACCCTCATTCCCCCAGACAACTCGAGCCGTTATTTCAGTTAGTTGGGTTCAATGTTCTTTCGACCATTTGGCTCAACATGGTTAAAACCTTTTAATGAGTAAATATTTTGTACAATCAAAATCACAGTTTACAGTCTCGCTTCTTATAACTGAAGACGATCAGCATGGGCCATGTGGAAAGTCGAAAAAATTCAAGGTGGGTAATGTTAAGTGGTAGTACATGTGTTATTCCAGGGAAAGGGGACGACAGCTGTTAAATCCCACCGCTAAGTCTGCCATCAGCCTTCCCCAGCCACTTTGACTTTATTAGTGCCATCATTATAATTAACAAAAGTTGTCTGTGCTGTTTTTGTAAATATTTTATTTGTACCCTATACATATTCGCACATATTACAAATGTGATTACAATTTTTTTTTTCAATCGGTCACAACACTAACGGCAGCGCTGCTGCACCCGGAGGACACATGCCATGACTAACCGGCCAATTCTGGCACTCATTGTGACGGATTAAGGGGCAAGTAAGTCGATTAAGGCGACGTGGCGGGTTCTCGGGATGGGAATGTGCTGAGATTGCTCGAGAGGTTGGTGTGAAACTTTTGGAATCGGTAACGGATCAGTTCTTTGACAAAGGGAATGTTGAGGACATTGTGGATAGTGAGGTTAGTGTGTAATAAAAGGGCTTTGACAATTTGTCTGAGGACAATGTCTGAGGTTGGCTTGGTAGAACATCACAGTTCCACTCCGTATGTTCAAAGTGGCAGCAGTCGAGGTTGTATAAGTTAGCTTAGTTTTGACGATCAAGGCAGATTTTGGTCCTAGATGTCTTCGTAGTTGTCCAGGTCTTCTGTTGAATTGTTGTCTCTAAGTCTCTTGGAGTCCATGTCAGTCTGCTGCTTAGGTACAGTCGTATTTCACTTGAATGGAAGTATGTAACTCTTTATTAATATCGTAATAAAAAACTTATAGCTGAATGTATTTTTGTTTCCCACTTCTCCAGTGCTAATTTTTGTTTTAAGCATTTACTATTAAATCGTATTTTTCAAACACCTAGCTCTCTTCGGCATACAAGGCATGCGGGTTTCCTGCGTGTCCTGACTTGCTCCTAGCTTCTACCACCTCTTCTGACCAATGGGCTTCGATTCCCTAAAGGGACATACGACAAAACTAATTGAAAAGATGCTGGAAAGATAATTCTGCCTGCGAGTCGATTAACCCATGTTGACCCGGCACTGGGTCCGTCTACACTCGTGGGTTTTGATATTATTCAAACACCTTCGGCTTTGTGCCATCTTCAGTGAGGAATTGTCTCTCTCTCCTGTATATTTCTAAAATGTATTACAAATTTTATCATTTATCTCTATCTCTTCCCTCCCTCTCTCTCTCTCTCTCTCTCTCTCTCTCTCTCTCTCTCTCTCTCTCTCTCTCTCCCTCCCTCTCCCATACACACACATGCTACACTACTACTGCTACTATAAACACACATTGTGTTGTATGTGGCGTTGTACTAAAATAAATAATAGCATGTACATAAACGTCCATTTTCATATTTTAGATGGTCAGAAATTTATTATTATTATTATCCATAACTTTTTAAATTACTGAGTTTTTGTACTTCGCTAACGATTAATTATTTTTTGGTTACATTATCTGCTTGAAAGTTCTTGATGTAATTCAATGTTATCGTGCTTTGACTAACTATTTATTCTTTCCTTTCTCACTATTACTTGTTTCTTCTTTCTGATTTTTTTTTGCCAAATTCTACTATAAGAATCTAATACGTAGTAAGTAAACTAAAACTAAAGCCTAATATTAGAAGAGTTTACGAAATAGCGCACTTGAAATCCGGTTAACATATCCCAGACGTGCCTTATCGAAAATATGTATGATAATGAAACACTTACGATTTTAATGATCAGTACAGTTTGCGTGCCCATCCCTCGAATCGATTTTCAGTTATCGGCTCTGGAGGCTTTCTATAAAAATTAGAATAATTTTATAAGTTTTATCCTCGTTTAAAGAATAATGTAAGCATAATTTTATTATAACAATTATGCTTATTTTATAGTAATAGTAAAATAAGAAATACAAAGGTTTATGAGCGAATAATCTTGGCATTATAAGGGATGGTTTGTTGACCATGTCGTACCGGTTAATTAAAAGCAATAAAAAAAAAATATATATATATATATATATTTGTGGCTTGTTTGTTTTGGTAAATACTCCAATAAACAGCCAGACGATTAAATATAGATGTATGTAACTATGTATGTATTTTTCAAGATCCAAGACAGCACAGAATAGAAAACAAGTGTGTTTTTATCGCAAACTGTAAAAACGATTAAAATCATTCGGAGAATATTGCATTTTATTGGATTGCGATAAAATTTGTATTGGTCGTGAATAGGCCGAGAGGCGAAAATGTCCTATTTACAAATATATGACCACTATTTTAGACGCGATCAATACTTAAGTCTGCGAAGATCCCCACGAGGTCTCCGCTTACTCAGGAATTCTTGTTTTCACTGTCTTTAATCTTGTAAATATTTTCTCAAGATTCGGACTCCGTTTAATCCATAAATCCACCTTGCTCTCAGACAAAAGAAACCATTATAGCGTGTGGGATACACTTAAATATATAAAAAAATATATATACTGAAAAATCTCGGATTCGATCTCATACCACGAAAAAGTGGTCTCGTTTGATGATATGTATAAATGACGAGAGGCTAGGGTCAAGTGTACGCCCGGTCAAGCATTTTTAGATAAGTGCTCTAATTACAAAGTACCATGTGTTAATTATATAAAGCCGCATCAAAGGGTTTCTTTTATAAAAGCTCCTTTAAACTGAGTATTGTTATTTTTTTAATAAATTTAAGAAGTTCTGAATACAATTACATTTGTATTCCTTATATTCATGGAAAATCATAGATTTTATTGGATTGGCATAAACAAACAATGGGCAGTACATTGAGAACAACATAATCAAATGTCAATATAAAATGAAGAAATTTTGCTGATAAATAGTCGGATATTTTCCTGCATGCGGATCATTCCTGGCCACCAAGGTCCGCCTAGTCTCGCTGTTTTAGTATGAAATGACTCGAAGTGACCGTATAATTCATGAAATTGACGAATATATGAAGCCTTTCGGTTGAGGAATTGTTGAGCATCATCCATACATTTGGAAATACTGGTCCGCCTACTCTCGCTAAATTTTTAGTTTGATACGACTCGAAGTCACATTTAATTCATGAAATTGACAAAAGTATGAAGCCTTTTCGGTCGAGGAACCATTGGGTTTATTGTCCTCCTCCTGTATGCTATAGTAAGATGTGATTTTCGAAAAACACACGAGTAAATTTAAGAATGTACAAATTAAAAGAAATCTTTCTGTCAGTTAGATTGTCCCAGGCATGCTAGTAAGCCTGGCATCGCCGTACGGTATGATATGACAGAAGAATTGCTGAAGATTATTTATCATCTGCCCGTTTCCAGTTAGCCATCGATCTATACGTCTTATATCTATTTGTCAAAAATACTAGCGAAGATACTACTTCTCAAGTTAATTGAGTAACTTCTACCCCTCCTCCAAAACACCCAATATGAATACAGAAATTATCATTCGCGCGCTGAAGAGCTGTCTAGTTGATGTCATTCTCAAGATCAAAAAAAGAAAAAATGTCTGCTTGGGATATATTGATACAGTGAACGTTCCATATGAAGGTCAGCTTTGTAAAATAAAACCCTTTCTATCAGACACTATCCACAAACTGTACTTGGAAAGAAACAAGACTGATAAAACTGAGAGTACCTCAAGGCGAAGTTATTGGGCCTTTTTTCTACTTTATTTACCCCAGAGATCTTCTTACAACGTGTACAAGCGCAATTTGTCTATCGACAAGCAACTGATAATGCAAAAGAGTAGTTGCAAAAATTGTTGAACAATACTATGGTGCTCATGCTCGATGAATGAACCAAACCAAGCTGACATGGAATTCATTCCCCTATTGAAAGGCCATAAATCGACCATAAGTAACGCCCATTTAGGGTTGGACTTTTAAAAGAGGATGTTGTAAAATGCCTAGTATTATTAGACTCTATGCTCAACTGGAGTGTACCTACAAAAAAAATCCTTGTTAGGAGAATATGATCTAGAATACACGAGTTCAAATTCCACATTAATCTAAAAGCAAAAAGATTGTTTTACCTCAACCTCATGGTACTGCTCGTATCTATGAGGGTCAGCAACATACATCCATTCAAAAAAGGTCCTATACACCTTTTCTCGTTCAACCTCTGAAAACACCGTATTGAACTGCAATCTTTCAACGTACTGCTAAACAAACAAATTATTAGAAATAATCTCCCAGTAAAAAATCCGAGAGGAGGATGTGTGAAAGTTCATTACCTTTTTATGATAATTAAGGAATAAATTGTACATTTCGGAACGCATAGAATTACCAATGTCCTCTTACGAAACCTTTTAGCTCCTGTTTCACAACAGAGAAATAAATCTTATTAACTATCACCCTGGATGTAAAGAGTTGTGCTGTAATCGGTTTTGGCTAAATGCAACCACCATGTGCACGAGCCAGGTGTTCAACCGGGAAAAAAGCAACGTTCACAGTTAACTGGTTTAATCCATTACTCATGGATCGATCAAATTACTTATGATCCGTTCCGGAAGAGTTCCAGGGAGGGAGGATTATTTTTTGTGTACGAAATATACGCCCTCAGACTGTCTTCTTTTCTCGCTGTAGGTCTCGAGGCAGACGTTACATCAACTACTTCCGACGAAAATAGCTCTTGTGATAGTCTTCATGTTTCAAAGAACCGACACGAACTTTCGCTAACTCTATTTATTTTTTTTTGTTTTTTTAGAATTGTCTGTTATGCTGGAAAGAACTAGCAACCATATTAATTTTCAAAGCATATATTCAAGCAGAAACAGTGTCAAAGCCTTATCATAATCTCAATTTATCTTTTTTCTTGTTCTCTCGTTCACTTCCTCCCTTGATTTTCCATGCGGAAAAGACAATATTTCGAGATGATTAGAACTGTTAAACGTTAAGAGAGTTTGCGAAAAATGGAACCGACAGTAATGGATGGTTGGCTATGGTCAGTGAAATGGTTATTAGACCGACATCATACATATAATCTTATAACGTTATAAACAGGGATAAACAAGAGATACCTCCACTTCTGCATATTTTGTTCCCGTTAACCTGGCCCTTTTTAGTGTTATGATTCTACACATTTCAATTTTCTCTGCATGGATACTTCATAATCTCTAAAATCATATTCTATAATGTCTAAATACATTATTCGCTTAATTATAAAGGAGGTAGTTACGACCTAAATTTGCGACATTTTTTAAATAAAACAACTCTCTCTTTCTCTCTATCTATCTATCAATCTGTCTATCTATCTATGTATCTCCCTTACTCGGTCTCTCTCTTTCTTTTTCTTTCTCTCTTTCTCATTTTCTCTCTCTCTCTCACTTTCTCATCTGTCTATTTCTCACTCTCTCCCTCACCATTTCTCTCTCCCTCTCTCTCTCTCTCTCTCTCTCTCTCTCTCTCTCTCTCTCTCTCTCTTCTTGTTATTGTAAGAGAGGTCGTTCGCGACCTAATTTGCAAGATTTTTGAAATAAAACGATATTTATTCCTTCTCTTTCTCTCTCTCTCTCTCTCTCTCTCTCTCTCACTCACTCACTCTCTCTCTCACTCACTCTCTCTCTCACTCACTCACACACACACACCCGCTCTCACACACTGTTTATGTCTGCANACAATACATTATATAAACAAGTCATAAAGCCTATGTGGACATAGGTTATTGAACTGTGGGGTTGTACCAAACACAGGAATATCAAAATCATACAAACACTCCGTATCGTACTCGCTTCGGCGGTACATATACTAAAATTGGAACGATACAAACACTCCAAAATAAAATCTTAACATTTTTTTTTATATGTTTTTTATATTCTTATGTAACCTGGTCAATGCACCTTGGTACATAAGAAGTAAGGACTTACATAGGGTTTACATAGGGATCTTAAGATCCCTGCATTCACGGCGGATATACAAAAATTTACCGCCAAACACCAGGCTCGCCTCAGCCAACACGAGAATGTGGAAGCGACCAAACTCTTACATAACCGAAACATGGTCAAAAAATTAAAAAAACAAAGCCATATGAACTGTGTAGTTAAACATGAATAGTGAATAGTGAAATGTAAAGCCAATGGGTTTATAAGAATGTAAACATTTATTTATTCTATAATATTATTGTAAAATTAATGGTTGGTCTGATAAGACCAGTTTTAATAAATAAATTTAATTTTTAAAAAACTCTCTCTCTTTCTTTCACCCACTCTCTCACATATGGATTTCAACTCGAATTGCGGCAAAATGGCTGAAAATCTAGAACAAATTAGCAATATCTTACTTTTAACTTAGAAAATTAACTTAACATTAAACCATCATACCGATTTACTACCTTAGACGCCTAAAAGTCAGCTAATATCTTGCAAGATCATACCGACAATGTTTTCTGACGCTGGGGCGTTTAGAAGTTTATTTACTATTTCAATATATTTAATTATTTACCTTTCTAAATGGCAATCCCCGTTAATCGAAACTGGACAAATTTGTCAGTGCTGTTTGTGTTGGTAATCTAAAGAGTTAATGTTTTTATGCTGTAGGTATTGTAACAATATTACAATAGTATTACTTAAAATGTTACTACTGTAACATTTTTAAGTAAAGTTTTCATTCTGCTGATTATTATTATGTACAAAAATTTCAGCCTTATGTAAATACATACTATTGAAATTTTACAATCATGAATGTTGAATTATTGTATAAATATTCCACACGTTGGCTTTATTTTCTTTTAGCAAATCACTTGTCTAATGAACATCACTTTCTAGTTTATGGTCGCGATACGAGGAAGAATCATTCTGAAAACGACCTAAGACTGTCCCTATTTATAGTCTTGCCAACCTAGGGTGAAATAGTGAAACACGTGTCGACGTTCTTCATTCCCATGAGTCACGCCTTGAGCAATCCTGACCGAGGGTTAGCATCATTATTGTAAAAAAAGGGCAACTGGATGGTTTTCGATTTTAATGGTTTAAGGTGTTTCCGACTTGCAACTATATATGACTGAATAATTGTAATGATCAGTTCTCCCGAAGGGTTCTGCATGTGACGTCTTTTGACAAAGCTATAAAAAATTCCCATGCTCTTGACTAAACTTAAGATTCAGATAAAAGCCACGTGTCCTGACTCGGTGGGAAACGGCTTTTTAGCTCAATTAGCACTGATTTATCAGCCTCGATCCGGCCACATGTCAAGTATATATATTTCTTTTTTCTTCAACTAATGCAAAAATGGACATTTTAATCCCTTGTTGATAAACTTAGTGATAAAAGAAGGAAACGTGACATTTAACAGCTTCATAAAGGAAGAACAAAGATAGGGTAAATAAATAAAAAATCTTTGTTCGGAAGAAGCTTTTTCTTGTACTGAAATTTGTCGACATGACAAAACATCAGTCGTCATTAGGGTCAATTTCTCCTCATACAACTCTCCCTGTTTCTTTCACATCTTAACGTCCAAACAAAACAAGTTAGAGAAAATTTTTAATGTTGATCTTTATCACATTCATCATTTATGAAAATCATATTAACGATTGTCAATAGTGATTTTCACAAGAACACGGCTTAGGATAACAGAGGTACAGGTAGTGAAAATGAAATAAGAAATGGAAACAATATACATGGAATACAATAAACCACAGACAGAAGGGAAAATTAACATAGAACATAATTGAATAGAATTGTCTGGAAAGGACGACAATACAGTTTAAAAAAAGAATAAAATGTAAAATAAAGCAAGCTAAATGAAAGTCAATAACAAACTATTAGTAATGGACGGATAGGGGACAGAGATAGGGATAAAGGAAGCGGCCACAAGGCCTTCTGCACCTCGACCTGAGTAGATCTATTGTGCTCTCCCGTTTTTTATAACTCACTGGCCAGCTTCAGGTTGTTAATCAACCAGCGGCTGCTCGTAGGATCTTGAGGTTTTCCAGTCCTAGTCCCAAGAATCTGCACCTGCATAGACCTTCACCAAAACATGAGTTCTGTGGTCTCCTCCTCTTCCTGGCAATATCTACACAGTGTTTCTTCTGTCCGGTGCATGTGCTTTCTTAAGTCGCAGTGCCCTGTCAGGAGTCCGACCAGAATCCTGGTTCGCTTGCGGTCGCATTCCAGTAAATTGCTTTGTAAGTTTTGGGGATAGCCCTTCTATGAATCTTTTGCATGCCTCATATCTGTGGTATTGTTCCACCTGGTTTTGGACTCATTAAGGATTCATTTTGAGATGTATCCTCTTTTGTGGAAAGATCCCTCTTCGGCCAACATGTCAACTTTTTCGTTGCATTTATGCCGCGATTGCCCAGGCACCCATGCCAGGATCAAGACATTAGTGTCGCTGACTTCCGCCAGGTCCTCCATTCAGGTCCAAACACTTTTTGCCTTCATCTCGCATCAGGGCCTTTAGTGCTGCCTGATTCTCAGAGAAGATGGCTATCTTCCGGGAATGTATACCTAGCCTTTTTATTTCCCTTGCGCAGTCGATTTCAATCGCTATGATTTCAGACTGGAAAACTGTAGCATGTTTACCTAGTTTACTGTCGGTTCAGTCTTTGGATTCATCCCGAAGACTCCAGCCCCGGGCCCTTGTCGGTCTTGGAGACGTCAGTGTACCAGTAGGAATTTGCGTTTAGTGGTGATCCCTTGGCTCATTCGTCCCAGAAGAAAACAAGCGCTTAAACAAAAAATGTGGTTTAATAGTAAAAAGAAATCGGCACACAATTAAGTAGAACACATTTTAATACGATAGAGGTACGAGTAGAGAAAGTGTAGAACAGAAGAGACATCTAGAACAGAAGCAATATACAGTCGAACAACATGAAGTGTAATGAACAACAGAAAAAAAACTTTTGTCAAAATAAAAGGAGAATAAAATGTAAAATAGAGCAGGACAAGTTAAACTAAAGAACAATAATAAAGAGCAGAACATTGGTCAAAGCATAACGGAAAAAACAACCAGGCAAATGCAGAATAGGACAGAACAACTAAAAAAAAAAAATCCATACATAATGATGTAGATCAGAGAAAAGTATAACTTATTAACGACAGTTCAATTGTTTGTTTTGATACAAATCTTATTTTAAAAATTTTGTAATTGTTAAAGTTAGTATAAAATACCGTATCCCTTCTCTCCGCTAACATTGCCAAGATAAGTGATCCCTGTAGGCCAGAATTAAATGCATTAATAAATAGGTACTAAGCAGGGTGAAAGGTCTTGTTTGGATTGATGCCAGCAGGTCGATCATCTCTGGATCAGCGAATTCTAGTTTTGTATCAGCTGTGATTATCGTGCATTCTCAACAGAAAATAAAAATAATGTATTTTAAGGCTAGATGAAAAATATATACTTTTGTTTGTCTATTAATGGCGGTAGCATTTCCTTTAGGTTGTTAATAGAATAAATGTATAATATCGTTGCAAAGGGAGGGCCGAGGGATGTTGGGG